TGAAATGACTTGCGTAGAAGTTATTGATGCAAGCCAAAAGGTGAAATCTTTGTATGGCAAATCTGGTTATTAGAATGACATGTTGATAACAATAATGTCTAGGTAGAGCTCCATGAAGATTTATTATGGGCTCAAGGTAGCCCTGAATAACCTTTATATCCTAAGCTCAGGAATGCTGCACAAAGGTTTCTCACCCTGACCCTTCTCTGTCTCACTAGAAAATAAGCTGCATACCACTAAACTACTGCAGATCACTTTTAGTGGATTATGCAAGGGGAAAATGATCCTTGAAGTCAGTTTGGAAGTTAAACTGGTTCAAAATGCAACAGACAGGATTTTGAGATTTTGAAAGACCCTCACAGTCTACCAGCTTCTTCTGAGCCAAATGCAAGCTACTGGTTTTGTCCTTAAACTCCTTCAGCATTAGGATGTAGGCATCTTCAAGACTGACTGCTCCAATAATTTCACCTGTAGCTGTTTTTCTACATTAGACTGTACTGTAAATTGCCATGGGATAAAATACTTAAATACATAAAATGGGAATGTGTTGATGTGGAGGGAGAAGAGAATCCTGTGGTACCATCAGTGTTGCTCATATACCATTTCCATTGAATAAGAAGTGTGTTTAATACACAGAGCATGGAGCTCAGCTAACAGTTGAACTTGCATTAGGAAAATCTGCAAATCATACAGTGGAATGGTTCAGCATCTACAACCTAAGTACTTGTGAACTCAGTGAAGGTAACATCTTGGAATCACAATCACAGAAACACAGAATAGTAGAGTTGGAAGGGGCCAGAAGGCCATCTGGTCCAACCCCCTGCTGTTCCAGGATATTAAGTTATACCATCCCATCTTGGAATGCCTAGTGCTGTAATTATGACTACTTGTCAGGACGGCTAAATATTTCCTCCAGCACCAGTGATAGCAGGCCTCCGTATGATAGGGAACAGCAGCAGAAGAGAATTATAGCACCCATGTTCCGATTGTGGACTTTCCAGAGGCATCTGATTGGCCTGTGGAAAGAGCATGATGGCCTATATAGGCCTTCAGTCTTAAGTAACCGGACTCATGTTTTTACTGAAGCTAAATGGATATGGACCTTATAGATCTTCTGAAAGAGTGAGGTAAAATACATACATTTCAGGGTTTGATGTACAAAGGATCTTGCATATAGCAAGCAGAGGTGGTCGAAGATACCTGCTTATGTGCAGTACACCCACATGCATGGGCACCTAGGACCAAGGTCTAATCAGGTTGCTTAGGGAGAAAGCCCCAAAGTACCTTATGCTTGGACAAAAATTAAGTAATAATAAATTAAATAAACAACTATTTTCTGCCCTTTCACAACACCCAAAGTCATTGCCCCAATATGCGTAATGGTAGAGCTACCCTTGCCTGGTATTGAGGCCATCCCAGTTAAATCTGCATCACTCCTTTTTTGCTTATAATTAACTGCAGGCATGGAAACAAAAACATAGCCTTTGTCTTATCTATAGATTGATAAAGTGCTTAGACCATTCAAAATCTTGCTTTTGACTTTGTGATATACCAAAATAAAGGTATTAGTAAACAGCAGAGGTTTTTGGGAGGTGGGTGTAATGGACCATCATGATCAATTTCAGTCTTTCTTTTTTAGTATCTCAGTTTGCTAATAGGCTCATTTAACTCTTCCACAGTTATTTGGGGGAAAATTATCTGCAACTGTTCATGTACAGATAACTGTGTGTGTGTATCTATCTTTATATTATATTAAAATGAGAATGATAGATGTGAAGGACAGAACAAGGACAGCAAGATCTTCTCACAAATAAAAATGTAAGGAAAAAGATGCCGAAACAGAAGACAAACAGATCAGTTGCAACCCAGATAAGAGTTACACACATTCAGAAACCTTTTGAGCAGAGGAAAACAGAAGCCTCTTGATGATAGCACAGTAGCTTCTTTTAGTGCTCCAGCAGACTTGTCTTGGAACACAACAGCTTTTCACTTTTATCTGAATTCCAGTTCCAAGCAAACAATTGATTCTCTTCATCTTTAGCTGAAATGCAATCTTGAAGCAAAAGAGTTGCCCTAAATTTTTCATCAAAAGAGATTTGTCATTAAGTTTGAAAGGAAAATAAATAATATTATCAAGAAGATGACTTTGCAGAAACAATGCTTCTTAGTGCAGAAGTGGTGGTTGTTATCCTCTGCCTTAGTTCTCCAGATGAATCGGATGGACAAAACTCAGTGTAGGACAGGGAAAGTCATGGTAGTCCGCTTATTTTCTGTACTACTAGACTTTATCGTTTAATCATTACCCAGGTGTGAACAGATATTAATTTAGTGATTTCTTGGAGATTAAAAGGAATTGCTGGATTTTTGTTTTTCTTTTATGCATTCTGTAGAAACAACCACAAAGCTGCAAAACAGAACAAAGCATCTCTATCCACACAAAGTTTTAGAGATGTATAGAGATCCAAGAAGCATTTTTAAATCTACTTAAAATTAAGCTGAAGCTTACTTTTGATTTAAAAACAAGGGTACATGAATGTGGTCATTCATCATGGGATCAAGAGCTCACTCAACAAGCCTTGTCTGCTCCTTCCTCCACACTGCAATCCTCTACATAACCATGAAAGTCTGCTTTTGAAGGTTAGAGGACTTTCCAAAGGACATATAGATTGAGTGCATGGGATAGCTAGGAGAGACAAAACAGGAAAATCTGGGACAATCACCTTGCCCAACACAGGACTTTTCACACACAGACCATCTTGGAGGCAAAGCTGCTTGGATATTTCAATATTTTTATACATATTAACACTCTGAGAGCACTGGGTACAGGAGAATCACAGGGCTTTTCCACAGCTCTGTATTCCAAGAGTCCTTGACCATGACAAAGTGAATTGTCCTGTACTGTCTTGGGGGACCCTCCTCAATTTAGTGAAACTAGAAGCATTTGGTGTAAGCTACAGTTACTGTACAAAGCTGTGGTCATTTTGGTGCTTCTGCATAATTATTATGCAGTATTTGGATTTGGTAAAACATGAAATTATAATCCAAAATTAGTTTATTAAGGCCCCAATGATTTCTATTCCCCTTTTTACTTGAAAAATAAGAATTATATTTAGATGCTGGAAAGTAAAGTACTTTAAAATTAATTAATCATCACTACCAGACAGTACTCATTGGAAGAAATAGTGAATTATCAATCATGGCTTTTCTGTTGCCATCATGTACTTATTTTGGAAATGACTTCAAAATTCCACAGCACTTCATCCAAAAAAATTATTAGCCAGTAGGCCACTTAACAGTAAAAAACAAACTTGTGGAGTAGAGGGGCAATAAACATAATACATTACATTAGAATAATCATACAACTGGATTAATATCCTACGTATAATGTATAAGGAAATCTTTTGAGGATGATATAATTTAAACAAATCTCTGTCCAATCAGCACACTTGAGCCACTGTATTATGTAAATGGAAATCTTTTTCCAAGAGTAACAGCTTACATATTAAAAATTACAAAGTGATGATCTATAACAGAAATACAGTTCCAAAAATACTTTTACATTATTTATAGTGTTTTTTTAATGAAATGCATCTTCTTGATGTACAGTTGGAATTTTATATGGCATCCATCTATGGTCCAAATCCCAAATTAAAGAGACACTTTACCAGCTCTATATTAGCAACTAAGACTCAGATCAGTGACCCTTGACAGTCCGTAGTTCATGAAAAGATCATCACAACAAACTGAAGCCAACAATAGGGAAAAAGGTGTGAGGAAGCTTTAAGAAATCAGCAGGAAACACTATGGAGCACAGTGCACTCTGAATTGCATGGGATCCTATATTCAAACCCAGCCACTATAAGAGGAAGCTGCTGCACAAACCTATAAATAGATGACCTGGATTTTGCTATGACTTGAATGTTATTTTCCTAGTAGAAATATCAAAAATGAATGAATGAACGAATGAATGAATGAACAAACCCTTGGATTCTTTTAGCAAGGGTTGATCTATGCATCACAACATTAAGAAAAATCACATGGCAATGTTATCTGGAACTGCACCACTTCAAAATCCAGATAGGGGGCTGCATCTTTGTCCATGTAAATACCCTGTGGCAGCATTTTCATACCTGGCTTCCTATATAGTCGTTGGAATCAAACACCCATCCTTACAAGTCAGCACATCCATTGGAGAAAAGACATTTTGATCTCTAACAGGCTTGCAATTAATGCATTTATCAGCCTTCCCCAACAAGGTCCTTCCAGCAGTTTCGGAGCAAACCCCCAGCATCATCATTGTCATCATCATTCTTGAACATTGGCCACTGGCTGAAAATATTGGTAGCTGCAGTCAAGTGCATCTGGAGGATACCAAGCTGATGAAAGCTAATCCATTGCATACGGACAACTAGGTGAAGGAAAAAACTGAGCTAGAATCTGTCTCCCTAATACGTTATTTTTTTCAGAGGGAAATTAATTAATACAGAAGAGTATTCAGTCATGTAATCCATCACCTCCATTCTGAAGTGGTACAATCCAAGATATTTTTCTGGCAAGTAGCACAATGCTATTTGCATTTCTTTTGGAATTCTATCCCACTGGAAACAGTGGGACTTATACTTTGCTAGGTGTGCATTGAATCAACCCTGGCCATAGTCAAAATTAAGCCAGAGCGGAATCAAACCTTTTCACTTGAGTGTCTGTAGAAATGCCCATCACATACAGGTATATTTTCTAAAAAAAATGCAGAATAATTACATATTTACTTTACTTTTTAATAACGAAAGCTGCACACTGTTCAAAAGAAGAGCAAGTGTGTATTACAGTATTATGAAAAAAGTTAAATATGTATATGCTACTTCAAAGCAATTGCAGTTTTGAAACACAGCTTGATCTCATCATAGATTTGATTCCGCTCTCATCAAAAAATCACTAGAGATATGGCTGACACTTCAATATGATATTGTAGTGAGTTATGATCTCTAAGTATTGTTACATACCTAAACCCTCAGATTCAAATAGACAAGTATCATCCACTCCCACATCTCTGCACCAGGATAAGAAATTTGCTGTATTGTCTCGTGCAAAAAAAGATCCAGATGGTGCATTGGCTTTGCATGGAATTTTCCTCACTGGCATTATCTGTAATACAAACAAAACAGCCATCACATTGTAAGTACACATCAGGTGGTCAATGGGTTGCACTGTAATTAAGCATTAAGGGCTTTATTATTCTTATTGGCTGGGCTTTTCTGATTATGGGGTTCCACCCAAACATGTCACCAAAGCTCTTCAGATCCTAAAGCCATTACAGCACCTTCTAATCTCCGAAATACCTACTCCTGAAAGGCTAGCGAATTTATATTGGCTGGACATTAACACACACACATACTTCTAAAAATGGCCACATACTGCAATTTTTGTATGACAACAGCTTTTTGGTACAAGAATAGAACACAGCTAAGTAGGACACACATACCTATACCGATAGAGTGACGGTGCTGTTCACATTAAAAGTGTTCTCATCCCCTTGCAAGGCAGACTAAAAATAAATAGCTATTCTATGCAGCCTACTTATTAAAATGATTTATGGAGTATTTGCTTCTGTTCTGGAGATGGTTATTAAATTCAAGATTTTGCTTAAGCCAAGAACTAGGAAGCAAAAACGATATCTGCAAAAGTTCCAGTTCTGTGTCCAAACACAGATTGCTTGGGAAGAGAAAAAACATACAGACCAAAACAGTGTTAGGAATCCTGACAAAATGGGGCAGAGTAAAGCAAACAAGATGGAACTGAAGCACTTAGACCTACCCATAGATATTGCCAAGCTAACAGCTGGCATGCCATACCCAACAGTAAGAACCATTTGTAGTGATGTGATACCTTTGGGAACCAATCAAGTGCTCCTGCAGGCAACTAACCAAGCAAGTTTAGGCTTCCTAGTTTCATAAGCCACAGTGGTTTAGTATGTTCTCCAAACCCAGACACAATGTGGCCCTGCCCCCTGCCTCTCCCCACTCAATTTGTCTGTATGTCACCAAGAAACCAGATGGCAGCCTATAGTCAATCCACATCATGATGGCCAAACCACGTAAGTGACTCACTGCTTGGAGCAACCACCATGCAGGGACAACAAAAAGTAAACAAGATATAACAGACACAGCATGAGGTATGCTTTCTTTCTCTGCTTCCTATTTCCTTTTGTCACATAGTCCTCCAGGCTTACAGTCACTGAGAGCCTTGCTGTCCATGAATTTGTTTATCTCACTTTTCAAGCCAAGTTGGTGGCCATCACTACAGCTCATAAATGAGGATTCCATAGTGCAACTATGCACTGTGTTATAAAGTAACTATGCATGGTCAATCCATCTAGTTTAGCATTATGCTCATACAATGTCTAATTGTATGAACATAATGCAAATTAGATGGGTTGACAGTCATTGACAGGAAACCCACAAACCATATCTGGACAGGCAGGACCTAGCAATAGTAATCTGTGCATTGGTAAACTCTTGGTTGGACTACTTTTCTATGTTGGACTGCCCTTGAAAACTGTCTAGAAGTTACAATTGGTGCAAAATAGAGCAGCTAGGCTAATGATGGGGACTGGTAGTACAGAAGATATTACACCAGTCCTCTATGAATTACACTGGTTGTCCATTGAAGTCCGGCCTACTTTAAGGTGCTTGTTTTGACATATAAAGCCCTCAGCTGTTTAGGATCTGAATATATGAAAAAATATCTCCATCCATATAAGCCTACCTAGACCCTGAGATCCTGCTGTGGAAGCCATCTCTAAAGGAATCTAGAATGGCTACCCAAGACAGGGCCTTCTCAGTTGTGTTTTTAGCTTAGTTTTTAGTTTAGTTACATTATGTTACATTATTTGCTATGGTTTTTCTGGTTTTAATTGTTTTAAACTTTATGTATTTTAGGATGTTTTATGTTGTTGGGTTTTTATTATGTAAACCATCTAGAGAGCCATGTGGCTATGAGACAGTATACAAAAGTGTTAAATAAATCAATAATAAAGCCCACATTAAGACCCCTTATAATTCAGAAGTACCAGCCTGTCCATTCTGAGCATTTCTTTCTTCTTCACTCCTGCTTTTAAGCTACTTAATTGTTTTCCGTAATTTGCATAGCCACAACATCTGAACTGACCCTTTTGTCAGCCAGTTCTTATTACCTAGGATGGGGGAAGGCTTTAATAACTTGCTTCTTTTTTGTAGCCAGAATATATGTTCACTCATATTACTATTGTTATTGAAAATTGCAATTGGCCTGGACACCAGAAGAAACCAAAGATTAAAGGCATTTCCAAACAAGAGGAACTGACTAATAAAATGTTCAGTTTAGAAAGACTAGGGCTGAGAATGAACAAGAAGAAACTGATTACAAATCCAGCATCTTTGGAAAAGGTTAAGATCTACTCTAAAAGAAAATATCTAGAACTTCTTCCCAAAGCTGAAGCTCGTCAGATGTTTTGCACCACCTCTCCTACCATTTTTAGACAGCATGTCCAATGGTCAGTACTGATGGTGGTTGCTGTCCAAGGCAACTGGATGCCATTCCAATTGGGGAAGGCTGGTCTAGGAATGAAGCATGAAGTAAAAGCCCAGGAGCAAGAAGAAACAGGAACCTTGCTGAATCCATGTTAGTCTGTTGAAACTTGTACTGGAATTTTGCCAATGAAGATGGCAAAAAGATGCAATAATACTTGGAATAATTAATATTGCAAGGGCCAGCTGAAGCCCCCATTTGAATTCCACCCCCAGGTACCAAAAACAACACTAAAGGGTCCCGGTGTGCAAGAAGCATATGATTCATCAGGACCCTCTGGGCCTGACCCATTGAAATTAATGGTAGCTGACCGCAGGCAGTTTCTCCTTACTGCACCAGGACTGGTACAAAAGGGATTCCTATTAACAGTGTCAAACATGTGCAGAAGCCCAAAGTACCATTGTGATCCAACTTCCAAAAGTACCTGTTTGCACTTAAGGGGAAAAAGGGTGTTTTATCATTTTAGTAGAGCCAGAATTTTATTCAGTACCTTAAATGAAAGCAAGATTAAACTTATACTGAAGGACTGCAGGGAAATATCTATGTTTTCTTCTCACTTAATAAATTTTCAGCCACCTAAAAATAACCAAAAAGTCCTTTTTATTATTCTCAAATCAGTTAACTGTACCTTCTAACTCTGAAATATGAACGCTGTTATTTAAGAAAGGTTTGATTCTCAAATGCTTTTTTTTACCTGATTTTTTAAAATGACTTGAATTTCTCCAAAGTGTTTTGGAACAAATTGTCCTGACATAATTAGGTTTCCATATGGTAAAAGTGACTTTTGTTGACATAGTAGAGTATAGCCACAGTTGCTCTAAAACAGCAGTGCACACAATTGCTCCTATCAAATATCACAAAAAACAGTTCCCCAGTGACACTCCTTTTACAGTCCTGTCTTGTTGATGTCCATGCGGGAGGTTTAATGCAGGATGTGAAAGTGTGAGTGAAACAGATGATGTACGCCTGGAAAAATGTGGTCAGGTTTGCTCCTGCACCCCAAGAGAAGCCATGGTTCTATGAAATCACACGGAAAAAGAAATATATTGATATAATTTTTCCAAAAGAGTTTCCATAATTTTGTTTTAAATGTTTGCTTTTGGGAGACTCAAAGCATATTTTAAAATATCTTGAGGAAAGAAACTATGATTTCTGCACTGCAAATTCCTGTGAATGAGCCATTAATAGGAATAGGCCCTAACGGTCTGAATCCCCCAGGTTATCAAAATTCAACAGCTCATCTTTTATACCTAAATATCCTTCTCAATGATTAAAGAAAATAAGTTTCAGTATCGGAGTCCTTAAAAAAGTCACTAGGCCAGGACATTTTCATTCCATAGATTCCCCCCTCATATGACCTGATCTATGAACAAAATCATACAGCCAAACCACTCTTGGATCGTTCCATTCAGACCAGAATGTCTTTGTTAAACTTAATCCCATGAGTTACATAACTGATATACATATTAGCTGGGATGGCCACTAAATCAACTGTTTCAGTAATGGAGGCACCAACATGCAGCTAGTGTTTAAAAGTACCCCTGGGCATGACAGCAGACAGAAGCTTATTCATCACAACAGAGAAAGCAATTCTAACAGTGCCCAATTATAGTCTTCCAAAAACTGTAGGAAGAAAGCTAAAGTATAATGCTTTCTATGCCTATATATTAATGCCCAGTATATGGGAAACGAACAGCATGGACTTGAACTCTTAATACAAGAGGGTGTGTATGACCTGGTAGGTAAAATGGAAACGTTTTGGGATGGCTCCCAGGTCTGGAATTCAAAATCTGAGGGGCATAACCTGTTCAAGAAGAGCAGAAGGAACAGAAAGGGAGGTGGAGTCACATTATATGTTAAAGAAACATATCTCTGCGTATAAATACAGCTTAGTAGCCCCATTGATAGCATCTGGATTAATAGAAATGGAGCAAAGAATAAAAGGAATGCAGTGGTTGCAGTCTATTACCAACTATCTAGTCAAAGGGAAGACAGGGAGAAAACTTTTGAAAAGCAAATTGCCATTGTTTCAAGGAGGCATGATGTTGTCGTTATGAGGGGACTTCAGTTTCCTTGACTTCTGTTGGGAGACACATTCTGCCAAAAATGGCCCCTCCAAGATATTCCTAACATGTGTTCCTGATAACTTTCTCCAACAGAAAGTGGAAGGAACTCGACAAGTGGCTATCCTCAACTTGACACTAACCAAGACCTGGTGGACACAGGAATTCTGGGGGGAAGTGACCATGCCATACTTGAATTCTTGATTCTAAGAAAAAGGAAATTCTAAAGGCACAATTACAAGAAACTGCAACAAGAGAAAAAGGCAGAGGACAACAGAAGATGGCCATGTGGATTCACAAAAATCTTAGAAATGTTCTGAAGCAAAAAAGGGCATGGATAGGAAGTGGAAGGTGTCCACACTACAAAGGAAGAATACAGGCAGGTAGCACAGAATTGCAGGAATGGTGTCAGGAGGGCTAAAGCTAGGAATGAACTGAGGCTAGCAAGGAATTCTAAAAACAACATATCATATTTCTTCAGATATGTCCAAAGTAAAAGAAAGAGGAAAGAAATGG